TTCTCAGCGAGCAGCACTAAGTCGTCGATGTAGACAAGAATGTAAAGCCTGTGGGGGAAAGTGTGAATGAAGAGATTGGGATTGGAAGAAGAGGTGGAGAAGCCAAGAGAGTAAAGAGTAAACGCGAGTTTGGCATGCCACTCGCGAGGGGCCAGCTTGAGGCCGTACAGAGGGCGCTTCAGCTCCCAGGCAGTGCCTCGAGAAAATGGATGGGGAAAGCCAGCGGGGCGCTCAAGAACGATGCGTTCATGAAGCTCGCCCCGAAGGAAGGCATTGGAGACGTCCATAGTGTGGATCTCCCAATCCCAGCGAGCACCTAAGTCAAGAAGGAGGCAAAGAGTAGGGAGACGAGCAGTGGGGGAGAAGGTGGCAAAATAGTCAATGCCTTTGCGCTGGGTAAAGCCCTTAGTGCAATAGCAGGCTTTGAAGACAGGGGGCTCCTTAGGCAACTGCTTGACACGAAAGACCCATTTGCCTTTGACAATGGTGGCACCAGAGGGGGGGACAGAGTCGACGTAGGAATGAGTACGAGTGAACGCCTCACACTCAGCAATGATGGCAACCATCCACTCAGTGGCGTGGAAGCCAGAAACTGCCTCAGAGTCGGTCTGAGGGGTGGGAATGGTGGCAGTGTCGACAGAGAGAAGAGTGGGAGAATTGCAGAAGTCGCCGATGGTGACACTGAGAAGAGGAGAAACAAGATGGATAGTAAAAAGTTCCTCATGTTAGTGTTAGCCGTCAATCTCACACTTTGTACTTTGTATTTTCTATATCCTAGAGTTGTGTAGTTTGCACTTTGTGTTTGGTTGGGTGTACACCTACATCCCAACCAAACCCAAATGTAATCTCCAAGCAATCTCCAACCTGCCAATTGGATATTGCCTTGGGATTACCCCCAATCCCTAGGGATTGCCCCCGATTCCCTTCCCAGTGACAAGGACACGGGAGGCCATGCCTCGGAGACGAGGAAGGGAGGGGTCACCAAGGCGGTGGTGCCAGAGGAGAGTCTGGTGAGACAGGAGGCAACACGAGCAGGGGGCAGACTTAGGACCAGACCGGGACGCTGCAGCAAACACCTGACCCGACGCGGCTACCAGACCAGACTCAGCAACCGGAGGAGACACTGTAGTCAGGGTGTACAGGCTCGACCTAGGCTGACGGGTGAACGTGGCCAGGTGCCGGCCCGTCTGAGTACACGAACAGTGGGTCACCCGCTGACCTCCAGGAGTGAACTGGTCAACCCACGCCGCCTGAAGGTCAGCTCCACTCACCAAGTTCGTGGAGAACGAGAAGAGGTGGAGGCCAGATAGAGAGCCGGACGAGACCGCCGGACACGCCAGAACTGTGGAGGAGTGTGCAAGGACCGAACCCCCAGAGGGGTCAGCCAGAGAGAGTGCCACTGGCCGACTGACCGGCGAGAGTGTGGTGCAGTCGTGAAAGAAGGAGCGGAAAGCACCCGAGTCAAGGGTGAAATTGTGCAAGGCCGCGGCAGGCGTAGTACCAGAGAGAGCAGACTCACCAGCGCCTAGAGCAGTGGACTCACTAGCGCCTAGAGCAGCAAAATCACCAGCACCTGGAGCAGGAGACGCACCAGCACTTAGAGCAGCAGCCTCACCAGTACCTAGAGCAGTAGACTCTATACCTGGGTCAAGCGGCACACACAGGTAACAAGCACCCTCAGCACTAGTAGGCAATGCATACATGGCAGTGAAGATAGCATCATAGTCAAGAGCAAAGATACATACCCTCTGTCGAAGTAGCTCCAGCCAGGAGGGGAGCTCAGCGTCGTCGCCAAACTCTGTATGCCAGGCGTCGCTCAGACTGGGGAAGCAGCGGGACTCTGTGTGACCAACCGTCCCGCAAGGCTGACCAGCCCGAGCACCAGTGCGAATGATGTACCGGCAGCGAGCTGTACTCTATGACCCTCTAATCTGAGCGTACCACTCACGAAGCTGCTGGGGCGAAAGAACCGCGCGCGGACGCAGCTGCAGCTACACCTGGTCACTACAAGAAGCTCCCGAACGACCCGCTCCAGGGCGACTCCCACCATGGCCACCCCTACAACCCCAACTAGCGTACCACTCACGAAGCTGCTGGGGCGTGAGGGACGCGCGCGGACGTCGCTGGAGCTGCATTTGGCCACCGCCAGTAGCAGCAGTAGCACCTAGGGCAGCAGCACCTAGGGCTCCTCTTTTCTTTTCTTTTTCTTTTTTCAAAAATTATTATTTTTTTTTTAGGGTTTGGCAGGGCGCACTGGGCGCTGCAGAGGCGGCTCGCGGGCTGCAGGGGTGGCTCGCGGGCTGTAGGGGCAGTGCGCTGGCTGCAAGAGGCAGGCGCGCTGGCTGCAGGGGCCGTTCGCGGGTTGTAGGGGAGGCTCGCCGGCTGTAGACGGACGGCGCACGGGCTGCAAGGGTCTGCGCGCGGGCGGCTTGCACGGGGCGGCGCGTCGCGGGGCGGGTAGGGGCGGCGCGTAGGTACGCAGGGCGGACGGACGTCGCGGCGGGCTGGGGCAGCCCGCTCTGGCGACGCGACGGGCACGGGCAGGGCCGACGAGCGACGCGACAGGCTGCAGGGGCGCGCGACGCGACGGGCTGCAGGGGCGTGCGACGGGACGGGCTGCAGGGGCGCACAGCGCGGTGGGCAGCCGGGGCGCGCGATGCGACGGGCAGCAGGGGCGCTTAGTAGGGGCGGGTGCAGGGCAGGGCCGCGGTGGGTGGTTAAGTCAGGGCTGCAACGGGGCGGCTGTAGGGCAAGGCCGCGACGAGGCGGCGGCAGAGCAGGGCCGCGACGGGGCGGCAGCAGGGCAGGGCCGCGACGGGGCGGCTGTAGAGCAGGGCCCCGACGAGCGGCTGAGGGCAGGGCCGCGACGGGTGGCGGCAGGGCAGGGCCGCGACGGGCGGCGAGGTCAGGGCCGCGACGGGCAGCGAGGTTGGGGCCGTGACGGGCCGTTAGGGTAGGGCCGCGACGAGCCGAGAGGGCAGGGCCGCTACGGGCCGAGAGGGCAGGGCCGCTACGGGCGGCAATAAGGCAGGGCGCGCGACGGCGCAGGTGAGGCAGGCGCGAGGCGCGCTTCGGGCAGGGCAGGAAAAAACGATCGTGGTGGGCCCTTAAAAAAAACGTTACCACTAGGGAACCTGCTCTGAAACCATGTGAAAGATAGAACGAGGAATAACTAGAAACAAGGCAGTATAAGGTTTGTATAGCAAAACCTAACAATACTGTACCCCACAAGGAGTGCCCCACTACAGCCTTCAACATGACACACCCGCACCGCAACATGGACATCATCACGTACGTGGCAGACGGCCGGCTTACTCACAAGGACAGGTGCGCGCAGCCTGCGACGCCCCTCCCTCCACCATCCTTGCGTTGTGCATCCACGCCTTTCGTGCACGCTATTCCATCCATACTACCCACAGCCGCTGACTGGGTAAGTTCATGCCAGTCGTTGTGAATATAACCTTCTTTCAATTGCTTCCCATTGCCATGAATCTACTTGCCCCTTGACCCTGGCCTGGCACCATGGGGACAGCGGAGACGTTGGGGCGAGGGTGGGTGCAGTACATGAGTGCGGGCACTGGGATCACGCACTCCAAGATGAACAACTCCAACCACCTGTACGCGCATGTGTATGTGACCAACAACTCTCCACATTGACATAATCTCATCAGCCTGGTTCACCCTGTGTTCCCTGTTGTAAGGCCTTTTGCCCTTTCCATGTGTTCCCTGTTCTCCTTCTCATCCGTGCCTGCATACAATGGTTCATCAGATCTGGGTGAAGCCGAGCGCAAGGGGTCTCAAGCCTAACAATGGCTCGCGCACCTTGTGCGATCAAGCGCGATCAGCTCGTTGCTCCTCTACATTCTTCAGCACGCATCATTTCCGTTGTCTCCACCCATTATTCCACTCACATCCATTGATTCGTTATCTGGTCCATCATTCTCACTTGAACAAGTATAGCACGCTGCGTTCAAGAATCATACTTGTGTTGACTATATGTGCTACCAAGGTGAGTGGAATGTGCTTCAAGTAGCTCTGACTTGTCTCTCTTTCCTTCTCAACCTCGTCGTGGCTACAGCAAGAGCGATCACCACAACAAGCTACAGCAAGTAGTCACCAGCTATGACCGTTATGGTTCCAATAAGGATGCGGGATCGGGAATCATTCCCGTGAATCAAGACGTCAACATCTTTGTGTCGGAGATGGATGGCTCGCTGCCTGGTGCTACTACGAGGAGCTTTGAGTACACACTACAGAGGGGGCGGCAGATGTACCTGCTGTGCATTGAGGGCGGCCTAAGAGTGACCTCCAAGGACAGTGGCATCAAGGAGATACTCACTTCCTGTGATGCCCTGCAGGTACTATGCCTTTCAGCACCTCCATCATCCTTTTTGAACTCACTAGAATTGATCTCACAAATAATCGCCTATGGTCGTCTAGCAGGTTGCTGCGCCATCAAAAGGAGACATGTCTCTCACGTTTCAGCCTGATGATGCTTCTGGAGCGCACATTTTGTTCCTGGAGATGGCCAGAACAGTTTGAGCTGATGTGTTTGAAGCCATTCTGTATTTCTTTTTACAGCAATGAGTTGTCTTTCTACCAGTTCTTCACGGTGGCAAATGGCAGAGGGTTCACCCACACTCCGCCCACACAAACCAGCCAAAAAGCTTCCAGGAATGAACGCACACAGTTGAACTCCCATCACTAGGCTTACCGTAGGAGTCAGAACAGGATGCTAGGGAGCATGCTGTGTTCCCTATCCATTTTCTGTGAACTTTCTGTTGCTTAGGTTGGGCCTCATAACCTGGCTGGCTTACTTGGCTTATTAAAATAACAGGACAGCTTCTTTCGTGTATCTTTGTGTGAAATTATGAGGGGCTCCTTCGTCGCATCATTTGACGCATCAGGTGTTGCTCACATCACATCCGAGCATCAGGTTGTGGCGACAAGGGACTACGGTAGCTTGTGTGGCTACTCCTTACACAGAGCATGGCAGGGAATCAAATGATAGCAAGAAGGCCAGATTGCAAGAGGTCGGCATACATGAGCTGGTTCCAGGTGTCAGGCACGCCAGGCAGGAACCAGTGCACGCAGTCACGAATCATTCGCCCCCCTCGCCCCCGCGTTACAGCGCCATCGCCCTGCCCCACCACAGACCCATTCACCACCTCTCGTGGCAGCAGCCGCCTGTGGGGCAGCAGCGGTTGCTCTGACATGAACGGGTGAGGCAGAGGGGGGCCGTTGAGGAGCAGGGGGAAGGCGACGACGTGGGCGTCTGGGCGCATGAGGGAGAGGGGGAGGGCGTCCAGCAGGCGCAGCCACGGGATGCTGGGCTGCCCCCACGTGGACTCATGCACGGCCAAGGCAGAGGGTGGGGCGCCAGGCATAGTGGCAGCAAGGTCATCAGAGGCGGCAAGGTCATTCCCGTGAATCAAAACGTCAACATCTTTGTGTCGGAGATGGATGGCTCGCTGCCTGGTGCTGCCGTGAGGAGCTTGGAGTACACACTGCACAAGGGGCGGCAGATGTACCTGCTGTGCATTGAGGGCGGCCTAACAGTGACCTCCAAGGAGAGTGGCACCAAGGTGACACTCGATGCCTGCGATGCTCTGCAGGTATGCGCTTCACCACGTCCTTCATCCCCACTTCTATTCCATTCGAAAATAATGCATTTCTAATTGCCAATTGTTGTTATGCAGGTTGCTGCGCCCAGAAAAAGTGACATGCCTCTCGCGTTTCAGCCTCATGATGCTTCTGGAGCTCACATTTTGTTCCTGGAGATGGCCAGAACAGTTTGAGATGCAATTGTGAATGCATGCTGTATTTCTGTTCACAGCAATGAGTTGTCAGTTTTTCAGTGTCAAATGGCTGGGTGCCCATGCTCACCCACACAATCCACCCAGTAACCTTGTTGGAAGGAACGAGCACATGTGAGCTGGCTAGGCTTGGGAGAACAGTACCAGTAGGCACAAGGAACCAGTTGCTCAGCAGCCAAGTACTGTGCGGTGGAGAAAAGCACGGCTGGAACAGCAGCAGCAGAGCAGAGGAACCATCGGCCCAGCAGAACACCGGCCTCGCTCGGCGGGTGGTGAACGACACAGAGGAAGGAGGTTGAGCTGAGACATGTTTGAGAGGGGAAGCATGGCAGCTACCGGTAGTAGACGGCAGGTTGGCAAGGCAACTGCCTGTAATTGTCATTGTACCCTTGTGTGCGGGAGAGCATGTTGCGCTTCCTCCTCCATCCCTCTGTTCCATGCACCTCGTGCATGCACACTCCTGTGGGATCATGACGTGTTCCTTCTTTGCATTCTTTGTTGCGTAATCTATTGCTCACTCTTGGGGCAGCTGCTGGCTGGACGGGTTACGGTAAGCAGCTGCTCAATATGGCAGCACAATGAGAATCAAGTGACAGCAAGAAGGCCAGATTGCAAGAGGTCGGCATACATGAGCTGGTTCCAGGTGTCAGGCACGCCAGGCAGGCACCAGTGCACGCAGTCACGAATCATTCGCCCCCCTCGCCCCTGCGTTACAGCGCCATCGCCCTGCCCCACCACAGACCCATTCACCACCTCCCGTGGCAGCAGCTGCCTGTGGGGCAGCAGCGGTTGCTCTGACATGAACGGGTGAGGCAGAGGGGGGGCGTTGAGGAGCAGGGGGAAGGCGACGACGTGGGCGTCGGGGCGCATGAGGGAGAGGGGGAGGGCGTCCAGCAGGCGCAGCCACGGGATGCTGGGCTGCCCCCACGTGGACTCATGCACGGCCAAGGCAGAGGGTGGGGCGCCAGGCATAGTGGCAGCAAGGTCATCAGAGGCAGCAGCTGTAGCGGCAGCAACAGCAGCGCTGGCAGTTGCTACAGCTTCCTCTGCAGCGGCATCACGGCAGTCGGCAGCATGTGCGCAGGCTGTAGCAGGTGAGAGGGGCTCCTGGAGGGAATGGGTCGCAGGGGAGGAGAGGGAGAGGAAGGAGGGAGAAGTAAACATGAGATGCTTGTGGGGTGATGGGGAGCAGCTGTGCAGCACAGCACTACCAGCTGCTACAGCAGCACACGCAAAAAGTGCACATCAACGTACCTTAAACAAGCTGAATTGGCATGCATTGCTCTCTGCACTCATTGCATGCATTGCTCTCTGCACTCACCGCATGCATTGCTCTCTGCACTCACCGCATGCATTGCTCTCTGCACTCACCGCATGCATTGCTCTCTGCACTCACCGCATGCATTGCTCTCTGCACTCACCGCATGCATTGCTCTCTGCACTCACCGCATGCATTGCTCTCTGCACTCACCGCATGCATTGCTCTCTGCACTCACCGCATGCATTGCTCTCTACACTCACCGCATGCATTGCTCTCTGCACTCACCGCATGCATTGCTCTCTGCACTCACCGCATGCATGTCACAGCGGCCACCAGATTGAAAGGTGCCGCCGGTGAAGTGGCTGGGCGAGGCGGAGCGCAGGAAGATGACGGGCGGAGCGGCACGGGCAGAGCGGACAGCGGCGAGCGCCAGCGAGCGCATGACTGCCAGCAGTGCCTGCCTGCGCAGGCCAGCCATGAATGGCGTTGACTCCAATTGACTCTCAGACGGCATGAACGGGCGCGCGGTGGGGGAGTTCTGCACGGCCTGCTGGTTGGCTCTGAAACTGTGTGGAGGGGGGAGGTGGTTGGAGCGATAGCGAGACAAAAGGATAGAGGAGTGGGGATGAGGAGTGGGAATGTAGGGCGGGCGGAACGAGGGGTGTGTGATGATCAAAACACAAACCGAGGCTGGCTGCCCTACTGCGTGCGTGCCTCGCCTCGTACGCACCTGCTGGCAGTCCAGTGGTTGGCAGTGCTGAGCACGACCACGTCCAGGCGCCACAGGTGCTGCAGCAGCCACTCGTCCGCCTCATACACCCGAACCACCCGCCGGTACTGCCTCCTCCTCCCCGCTCCCACTTGCCGCCGCCCCTGCCCGCCCTCCTCCCTTCCCTCCTCCACACTCTCCCCCTTACTCCCCCCTTCCTTCTTCTCATCCTCCCCCCCCTCCTCCTCCTCCTCTCCCTCTTCCTCCACGGGCACGGCAGCGGGCAGCATGTGCTCGTGGCACAGCAGGTTGGAGGTGCGCTGCAGCAGCGTGGTGTTGCTGCCAGGCAGCCACACAGCAGCGCCCCTGGCAGTTCCGCGCACAGGCGCGCCCCATGTGAGGTTGAAGCGCCACCCCACGTCCACCACCGCCACGCCCTGCCCGCCCCCGTTGACTGCGTTGAGCGGGCGGGTGTGGTTGGGGGGCAGCACTCGGGGGTGTGGGGCGAGCAGGCAGAGCAGCGAGAGGAACTGCTGGCGGCTGAGCGAGTCGCCCACCAGCGCCACCGTGCGGTGCTGCATCCTGCTCACGCATGGCGGGTGGAGAGGAGGGGAGGAAGAGGGGAAAGAGGGGAAAGAGAAGAGGAGCGGAGGAAGAGAGGAGGTGAGATGTTGCGTGGCGTGGCAAGTTAGAGAGTAAATGGCACCGCCAGTTGCCAGTGAAGGTTCTGTGTGTGGCATTGCAGCAGGGCGGGGATAGGGCAGAGGAGTTTAAAAATGAGGTGATGGCGCAGGGAGCGAGCAATGAGAGCCGAGGTGCCATGGCTTTGCCTGGCGCCTGGTGCGCTGCAGTGGGCGCCAGGTGGGGTGCGCGTGAGGGTTGTGGTGGGCAGCGTGAGGGTTGTGGTGGGCAGCGTGAGGGTTGTGGTGGGCAGCGTGAGGGTTGTGGTGGGCAGCGTGAGGGTTGTGGTGGGCAGCGTGAGGGTTGTGGTGGGCAGCGTGCGTGCCTGAGGAGAAAGTCAGAGGCGTTGAAGGCAGGCACGTCGCACCCATGGGGCTGCCACCGATACTCCTCAAACGCAAAGTCCCGACTCATGCCCTCCCCCTCCCCCTCCCCGTCCCCATCCTGTCCCCCCTCCTCCTTGCCTTGATCTCCCCCCTTTCTGCTTCTTCGCTCGATCTGCTCTCCCTGCTGCGGCGTCCTTTCATTCGCCCCTGCATCACTCGTCTGCACCCAACCAACCCGCCAACCTCCCTCTGCTTCCTCCTGCCGCCCTTCCTCTTGTACCCGTCGCCTTTGCCGCATGTTGTCTTCGGATTCTGCATTTCCGCGTTGCTTCCCCCGGCGATCTCCCACCGGCAGTTGCATGTGCCGGCAGTTGAATTTCTCCCACAGGCACTGCGATATCCAGAAGCACTCCCCGCCGTGGTAATAACGAGAAATGGGTGTTCTCGCGTCCCTGACCCATCGACCCTGGTACAAGTGACAGTAAGGGGAAGATCCAGAGCGCTGGCTTGAATGAGTGTCACGAGGTGGGCTCCTCGATTCTCGCTGCTGTGATTCAGTTTCGGCTTCGAATGAAGATTCAAGCGATTTTAAAGGGGCATTTTCTTCTAGCGAGAGCTTTTCAGAGAGGGCAAGGGGGGAATCTCCCCCCGGAAAGTTCTCTCCGGCCAGAAGGTCGTTTCGGCTGCTGCTGTCGTCGGCGATCAGCCAATAGGACGCGAGAACGACCGCTACCAGCAGCAACAGAAACCCTCGATTGCCCAGGATATCTGTTCGCGAAGGCATTTCGCACAAGCGATGGTGAAACCCGCATAGGTTCTCGCGGAAGGGAGTCCTGGCGCTGGGCCAGCGGGCCTCGTAGTATTAGGGACGCGTCGTGTCGGACGGCGAAGCGAGAGCGAGTGGCAGCGAGCTTTGGGTCAAGTCATTGCAGAAGGCATGGTGCACGTGGAACGAGATGGCGATGCGCGCGAGCTAAGGTTCATAAGTGGGTATGTGGACGTATTACGGATTCCGACAACGTTGCACCTAGGTGGCTCTAAGCCATCCTCGCTATAGCATGATTGTTTCAAGCGTTGGCGGCTTTCACGAAAGAGCACAACCTGATTATGATTGCGATACGACCTGTGGGGAAAGCCGATCCATATTGGTCCATCAATTGAATACATATACATATTGTGAAAGCTTGCTTAGTCCATCTTGCAAAGGCAGCGTGCTTCATTCCAAGTGGGGTATTACAACGTTCTCGTACATCCATGATACACAATGGGGTGGGTGGTGGGAGAGTAAACTAGAAAATTGTAAATGAAGAACGTGGGTGGAGCTATTGAACTCACGTTCCTCTTTTGTAGGCAAAAGAGGGGTGAGTAGCGTCGAACCGCTGCCTTTGCTTTGCTGGCCACGTCCTCGCTTTCACAATACGAAATTTTAAAAAGTGTTACACTTTTAAAAAATATAATGTCTGTGCGAAACCACTTTACCCATGTGCGTTCAAAAGGTACACCCCGTATGGTCAGCTGCATACACCAACATCTTTCGACAGCTGCTCTCCCCTCCTCTCTTTTCCCATCCACGCCCTCACATCTCATATGGCGTTCACAGAAAGTTCCCCCAAAGCGAACCGCGCTCAACAATAGTGCACAGATATTTGTGAAGCACGTGTTTGAGGTTGCTTCACGAAAGTTTGTCATGAACGATCTTGAAGTCTACGGGGTTACATGCCCCTGATTGGGTTTGATGATTCGAAGTGTCGGTGCGCAGAAACAGCGACAGGTCAGCAGTCGACGGAGCAAACCCAAGAGCCGCAAGTGTCATCCTCAGTGTGTCGTGCCACTCACGTGGCGCCTGGCAGAGACCGTAGACCAGCCGCCGGAGGCTCCACTGGGTACCAGGAGGGAACGACCCACTAAAGCCAGGCGGGTGGCACAGCCAGATCTCCTCGTGCAGGCTGCCCTGTAGGAGCAGTGCTGAAGTCAAAAGAGTGAAGCTCATAGTCACGCTGAGCGGCAACGTGGAGCAGCACCCGAAGAGTGGTCATCTTCGGGGTGGGGGAGAAGGTCTGGAAGAAGTCAACTCCCTCTCGGTGACTGAAACCTCGAGCAACGTAAGGAGCCTTGAAGACAGGCGGAGAGCCTGGCGGTAGAGGAACACGCTCCGCTATAGAGCCATGAGGTGTGTGCCGGGGACAGCCGGCAGACGCGGACGAGGAACACGACGACCAGTGCGGACAGGCGAGACAGGACGCGACGCAGTCTCACGACGCTCAGCAAGACCTCCTAGCTGCTGAATGTAAAAGCGTGTACAAAGTAATATTCTACAGTTTTTTACGTTGAAGGCTCGACGTCGGTCGACGTCGTGCTCGACGTCGATTGACGTTGAGCGCGGCACTTTGAACACAATGCCGGCGACGAACTTCCACTCAAGACAAATGCCGGCCTAAATAGTAGAACAATTGAATTCAGACGAATTTGGATAATCTCATGGCTTTTTTCGTATGCAAAGACAGTGCGTTTAATGGCTGCGAAAAACCTGAGAAGAAGTGAACGAGAAAAAATGAATCAACTATGAATGAAGTGAGTACATATAGGAAACCCTGATTGGGTTGTACCCCCTATGGGATACCCCACTATAGCCTACACAAATATATATAAGCTATAATGTTCTGACACACCCCCATAGGCAAAGTGGGGGAGAACAAGGGGTCACAAGACCAGTCAAGCAAAGCAAAGCAAAGCTCAGGGTGGATCACAAAGTCACCACACATTCCGAGCACAAGGTCAAAGGCCAGAAGGCCAGTTCACATGCAAGATCATATAAAGAGATATACAAGAGGCAAGCAAGCAAGAGCAAGAGTATATATAGGTAAAAGTACAAGCACGGTCAAGAAGTGAGCAAGTGAGGCAAGACACGCACAAGGCCCAGCTGCGTGCAGCAGCGCTGATGATCACAAGGCGCAAGTGCCTTGGTGAAGACATCAGCAGTGTTGGCCTCAGAGGCCACGTACGCAAGTCGCAACTGTCCACGCTGCTGTAGCTCACGAGCAAGAAAGTAGCGCATAGCAATGTGCTTTGTCCTGTGCTCCAGTCACTGATCTCGACACAAAGCCAGCATGGCCTTTTTGTCTACGTACAGGACTGGAGGAGAACGAGGCGGCTCTCCAAGGTCGGCCAGCAGGTAGGTGAGCCAGCGTAACTCCTGTGCAGCCATGGCCCCGGCGTAGATCTCAGCCTCACAACTGGAGCCGAGAACAGAAGACGAGCGGGTAGCCTGCCACGAAACAGAGCCGGAACCAAGACTGAAGGTGTAACCCTGTGACGACCGCTGCGTAGCCTGGTCGTCAGCCCAAGAAGCGTCTGCGTGCCCAGTGAGGACCACTGGACTCCGCCCTCCAAGCACTAGCCCCATGCCCGACGTACTGCACAAGTAGCGCAACACCCTCTTCGCTGCAGCCATGTGCTCTGGTCGGTGTCTCCCAGGAGCAACATAGCGTGCAAGAATGCTCAGAGGGTATGCAAGGTCAGGTCGTATGCTGGTCATCAGGTACATGAGGCAGCCAACAAGCTCTGCATACGGGCCACTCGACTCTACGGACTCATCCGAAGGCAGAGCTGAGAGCGAGTGGCGAGTAGGCAGAGGAGTGGCCTGAGGCGAGGAGTACGTGAAGCCGAAGCGCTGAAGGACCTGCTGCACCATGTGTGACTAAGTCAGGGTAATGGTGCGGCGTGCTCTGTCACGGGTGATCTGCAAGCCAAGGTAGCTGCGCAGTTCACCCAGGTCTGTGCACGTGTGTCTCTTCTGCAGCTCGGACTTCACGTAGGCGAGTCCAGCAGTGTCAGCTGTGGCAAAGACCAAGTCGTCGATGTACACGAGGATGTAGAACGGCGGCAGAGAGGTGTCGGTGCGCAGAAACAGCGACGGGTCTGGAGTGGAGGGAGCAAACCCAAGTGCCGCCAGCGTAGTCCTCAGTGTGTCGTGCCACTCACGCGGCGCCTGGTGGAGACCATAGACTGGACGCCGGAGACTCCACTGGGTACCAGAAGGGAAAGACCCAGTGAAGCCAGGTGGGCGACGTAGCCAGATCTCCTCGTGCAGGCTGCCCTGCAAGAAAGCAGTGCTGAAGTCGAGAGAGTGCAGCTCGTAGTCACGGTGAGCAGCAAGGTGCAGCAGTACCCAAAGAGTGGTCATCTTCGGGGTGGGGGAGAAGGTCTGAAAGTAGTCAACTCCCTGCCGCTGACTGAAACCAGCGAGCCACGTACCGCGCCTTGAAGACAGGCGGAGAACCCGGCGGCCGCTTCACCCTGAAAATCCACATGCCACTGATGATGTTCGCCCCACGAGGGGGAACAGCGTCAACGTAGGTGCCTGTGGACTTCCAGGAAGCCATCTCTGCATCCATAGCTGCTTGCCACTGAGAGGAGTAGGACCCTCTATCGCCTCCGCGTAAGAGCGCGGAGTCGGGATGTCTAGTGCATCCGGGTCTCCCTCAGGGGCTAGCAGTACAGACGCGAGATGAGGTGAAGCGGCGGCCAGACACTCAAACTCCTCCTGCCTGTCCTCGAGGACGTCCGTGCCAAGGGCACACTCAGCCCCGACGGACGGAGGACAGACAGACTCAGACTCAGCGACAAGACCAGCAGCGTAGTCTAGACGACAGCGCGCAGCAAAGACGACGAGCTCAGTGACAAGGGCAGACGCAGTAGAAGACTCGAAAGAAGGGTCAGTGACAGCAGTAGCAAGGAGACGCGTGACAGTAGGACTGGCAGCACGAAGAGAGTCCGACTCCGGGTCGGCAAGAGCAGGAAGAGAGGAAGAAGGAGGAGAAGGCAAAGGGGCACGTAGAGGAGCAGTGGACGGACGCAGAGACATCCTGTGCGTGCCAGGGACAGGAGGCGGACGCTGACGCGAACCGCGACCACTAGTGCGCGCAGTACGAACAGGCGACGGCAGGACGAGACGCAGGCTCACAACGCTCAGTAAGACCTCCAGTCGGACCAGCGTAGGGAGTAGGAGCAGGCAAAGGGGAGGCAGGCTGTAGCAGTGACTAGACAGGCTGTGGACCCTCTAAGGGAGGAGGAGAAGGACCAGGAGAAGGTGGAAGACCAAGAACCTGCTGCAAGAGCGGTACGAAGTACGGTCGGGGCCGCGCGGCTAAGCCAGAAACAGCAGGGACAGCACCAGTACCCCCAGCAGGAGTACCCGCTCCAGCAGCACCTCCAGCAGCACCTCCAGTAGCTCCAGAACCCCCAGCAGCGCCTCCAGTAGCCCCAGAAACTCCAGCAGCACCAGGAGCACCGCTAGTCGAACCACGAGTGGTAGTCTCAGCGCCAACACCCTCAGCAGCACCAGCTCCAGGCGAACCCGCAGGCCCAGCAGCCCCAGCAGCAGAAGAACCTCCAGCACCAGCAGCACGCCTCCAGCGCCGAGCAAACCACTCACGCAGCTCCTGTGAGGAGAGTGGCTCTCGGCGAGACGAAGCACCCGGAGAACCTCCAAGCGAAGAACCTCCAGGCTGAGCTGGTGGGCGGCTCAGTTGCTCGGCGGCTCAGCTGCTGGGCGGCTCGGCTGCTGGGCGGCTCGGCTGCTGGGCGGCTCGGCGGCTTGGCTGGTGGGCGGCTCGGCTGCTCGGCGGCTTGGCTGCTGGGCGGCTCGGCTGCTTGGCGGCTCAACTGCTCGGCAGGTGGGCGGCCCGGCTGCTGGGCGGCGCGGCTGTTGGGCGGCGTGGCTGCTGGGCAGCTTGGCGGCTCGGTCGCTGGGCGGCTGAGTGGTGACACGGGCCGGTAGAGGCGGCGACGTGGCCGCTAGGGGAGGGCGACGGGGCCACAGGTGACGGCGACGGGGCCGCAGGTGGCGGCGACGGGGCCGCAGGTGGCGGCGACGGGGCCGCAGGTGGCGGCGACGGGGCCGCATGTGGCGGCGACGGGGCCGCACGTGGCGGCGACGGGGCCGCAGGTGGCGGCTGCGTGGCCGCAGTAGGCGGCGACGGGGCCGTAGGTGGCGGCGACGGGGCCGCAGGTGGCGGCGACAGGGCCGCAGGTGGCGGCGACGGGGCCGGAGGTGACGGCGACGGGGCCGCAGGTGGCTGCGACGAGGCCGCAGAGAGGCCGCAGAGGGGCCGCAAGGGGCCTAGACGGGGCCGAAGAGGGGCCGCAAGGGGCCTAGACGGGGCCGAAGAGGGGCCGCAAGGGGCCTAAAGGTGACGGCGACGGGGCCGTAAGGGGTCGGAAAGGGCCCCGCGAGGGGCCGAAAGGGGCCGCGCGAGGGCCGTAAGGGCGGCGTGAGGGGCCGTAAGGGGCCGTAAGGGCAGTGCGAGGGGCCGTAAGGGGTCGTAAGGGCGGCGCGAGGGGCCGTAGAGGGCGGCGCGAGGGGCCGTAAGGGCGGCGTAAGGGGCCGTGAGAGGGGCCACTAAGGGCGGCGCGAAGGTAGGGAGGGCACACAGAGCGCGACTCGGGCAGGAGTGAAGCGCGCTCCGGGTAAGAAAAAAAAATATCGTGGTGGGCCCTAGGTAGCGTTCCCACTAGGGAACCTGCTCGATACCATGATAAGAAACGAGGAATGAAATGACTAAGGGAAGGTTTGATACAAGTACAAAACCTAGAAATGTGTTGTACCCCATATGTGCTACCCCACTATAGCCTACATAGGCTAAGTCATATAAGCCTGACAGTCTGTGGGTTTTACAAATTGGGATCAAACTATCATTTCCAAGAAGGTTCTTCGCGCACTCAGTGAGTGTGTCCATTCGAACTGGATTTGATAGAATTGACCCTTCTTTTATATCACACAGATTGTGTTGTTTCATGTAACAGTTGGTGTCAGAACATTATAGCTTATGCTTTTGTGTAGGCTGTAGTGGGGTAGCCCATATGGGTAAAACCCAATTAGGGTTAGTACTTGTACCCAACTCTTTCATAGTGCATTCATTTCTCGTTCTAGTTTTCTCATGGTATCGAGCAGGTTCCCTCGTGGGAACTGTTCCTAGGGCCCACCAATTCGAATTTTTTTTCCTGCCCGGAGCGCGCTCAGTTCCTGCCCGAGTCGCGCTCCCCTCTCTTGACCCTCTCGCGCCGCCTTATAGGCCCCGTCGCGTCGCGCAGGAGGCCCCGTCGCGTCGCCCTCACGGCCTCATCCCGTCGAGCCGCCCTAGCGGCTGCGTCCCGTCGCCCTAGCGACCCCGTCGCCTACCCCGCGGCCCCGACGCTGCCCTTCCCGGGCCCCGACGACGCCCTTCCAGGCCAAGCCCTGCCTCTGCTGGCCCCGTCGCCTAGCCCTGCGGCCCCGGCGCCGCCCTTCCCGGCCCCGATCCGCCGCTCTGCGGCCCCGTCGCCTACCCCGCGGCCCCGGCGCCGCCTTTTCTCGGCCCCGACGCCGCCCTTCCCGACCCGGCCCAGCCTCTGCTGGCCCCGTCGCCTACCTTGTGGCCCCGGCGCCGCCCTTTCCCGGCCCCGACGCCGTCCTTCCCGACCCGGCCCCGCCTCTGCTGGCCCCGTCGCCTACCTCTGCGGCCCCGACGCCGCCCTTCTCGGCCCCGGCACTGCCCTTCCTGGCCCCAGGCCCCTCCTTCACGCGGCCCCGCCGAGCTACTGCCGAGCCGCCAGCGCCACCCGAGCAGCCCAAGCAGCCGCGCCGCCTGAGCCGCCCGAGCCGCCGTACCGCCCGAGCCGCCGAGTCGCCCGAGCCGCCGAACCGCCGAGCCGCCCGAGCCGCCCGAGCCGCCCGAGCCGCCGCACCGCCAAGCCGCCCGAGCCGCCCGAGCCGCCCGAGCCGCCGAGTCCCTGGGCCGTAGTTACCGCCGAGCCGCCGGAGCCGCCCGAGCCGCCGAGTCGCCGAGCCGCCGAACTGCAGTTCCTGCCGAGCCGCCGAGCCGCCCTTTCCGGTAAGAGCAGAGCCTCTGTCACTGCACTGCCCTTACCCCACTGTTCGCGCTACTAGTCTACTGCTGTCATGCCTACCCCTAGTGTCCTCACTTTTGACGCTCAGGGCCGGGCCATTGACTTTGACGTCTGGGTAGATGACCTACAGCTTTTCCTATAGTGCGATAGAGCAGACGGTCTCTCCCTCTTTGACCTCACCTCGGGTGCCTCTCCTGCCCCTACTGCTGATGCTCACGCCACTGTTTGCTCAAAGTGGGCCACACGCGATGCTGCTGCACGTCTTGCTGTGCGTCGCCACCTGCCTACCTCTGAGCGTGCGCACTTTAGCCAGTACAAGAGTGCTCAGACCTTGTACGACGCTGTAGTTGCACGCTACTCCTCCCCTGCCACTGCAGCACTGAGCCGCCTCATGCTACCGTACCTCTTTCCTGACCTTGCTGCCTTTCCCACAGTCTCTGACCTCATTGCGCACCTCCGCACTAGTGACACTCGCTACCGCGCTGCGCTTCCTGCTGAGTTCTGCGCCAAGAACCCCCCCCCCCCCCCCCCATGTACATCACTCTCTACTACATCGTCACCCGCCTCCCTGACTCCCTTCGCGTAGTCAGGGACCACTTCCTCTCGGTTTGCCCCACCACTCTCACCGTTGACCTCCTCGAGAAGGCCCCCCTAGCAGCGGAGAAGAGCATAGTCGCTGTAGGAGCCTCTCGTGGTGACCCTCGCACCCCCATCTTTGAGGGGTGTTCCCCCTCCCCCCTTTTGCCCTCTATTGCCTCTGCTGCTGCGGCCGACCTTGTTGGGCTTGAGTCGATCGGTGCGGCGTCTACCCCTAGCGGGAAACGCCGCCCTGGCAAGGGCAAAGGGGGCAGGGGCGGTGGAGGAGGCGGTGGAGGCGGTGGAGGGGGTGGGGGTGGCGGTGGGGGTGGTGGCGGGGGTGGAGGTGTCGATGGCGGCAGTGGAGGCGGAGGCGGCGGCGGCGGTGGCGGTGGGAGCGGAGGTGGCGGAGGTGGCGGCGGTGGAGGCGGCGGTGGCGGTGGAGGTGGAGCTATTTGGGGTGGCGCTGCGTAGAGGGTCAGCTCCGGTGGTGGTCAGCGCCAGCACCAGCAGCAGCAGCAGCAGCAGCAGCAACGCACTCGTGACATCCCCCCCCCCTCAGCAGCTCCGTGAGTGGTACGCTGCACGCCAGTGGGGTGGGGGTACTGGTCTCTGCACCTACGTCCTACGCACCGGCGACCGCGCAGGTGAGCAGTGCGGGGGTGCGCACTCCACCCAGCGCTGCTTTGGCCGCCTGACGGACGCTTGGCGTCACCAGTTCCCGGAGGCCCCCGCTGGGGCGAGCTTTCTAGGGCGGGAGTAGCTGTCTTTGACCTTGACTCTAATGCTATTCTTGCTGCCATGTATGCTGTGACTAATAGTGATGAGGGTGACTGTTACTGGTGTTTTCCGCCCAACCCGTGCATTGAGACTGCTGCTGTAGGTACTGGTGAGGCTGGTGCTCTAGGTGCTAGCGAGGCTGTTGCTCTAGGTGCTCGGGCGTCTACTCCCTCAAGTGCTGGTGAGTCTGCTCTCTCAGGTACTGCGTCGGCTTCGGCCTCCCACACCTTCACCCTTGACTCGGGGGCTTCTCGCTCCTTCTTTGGAGACTGCACCACACTCACGCCGCTTGGCCGGCCAGTTGCAGTCTCTCTGGCAGACCCCTCTAGGGGTCCTGTCCTTGCTCACTACTCCACTGTCCTCCCGTGTCCGGCGGCCCCGTCTGGCACCCTGTCCGGTCTTTACCTCCCCTCGTTCTCTACGAACTTGGTGAGTGGTGCTGACCTACAGGATGCGGGGGTTCACCAGTTCACTCCTGCGAGTCAGCGGGTGACCCACTGCACGGACGCTCGGACAGGCCGACACCTGGCCACGTTTACACGTCGACCGGGGTCAAGCCTGTACACACTGACCACTGCGTCTCCTCCAGTCACTACGTCTGGTCAGCTAGCTGCGTCGGGTCAGGTGTTTGCTGCAGCGTCCAGGTCTGGTCCTGAGTCTGCCCCCTGCTCGTATCGCCTTCTGTCTCACGAGACTCTCCTCTGGCACCACCGCCTTGGTCACCCCTCCCTGCTTCGTCTCCGAGGCATGGCCTCCCGTGTCCTTGTCTCTGGTCTTTTCGGTCCCTCCCTCCCCTTCCTACTGGGCCTGGCCCGACCTGCATCCCCTGTGTCGAGGGGCGGCAGCGGGCTGCCCCTCACTCCTCCTAGTTTCCTCCGACAGAGGCCCCGCTGCAGACGCTTCACATGGACGTGTGGGGCCCGGCCCGCGTCCGTGGACAGGATCACGAGCGCTACTTCCTACTGGTGGTTGATGACTACTCGCGTTACACCACGGTCTTCCCCTTGCGCAGCAAGGGTGATGTCACTGCGATGTTGATCGACTGGATCTGCGTAGCTCGTCTCCAGCTCAGGCAGAGCTTCGGCTCGGACTTTCCTGTTCTGCGTCTGCACTCTGACAGAGGCGGAGAGTTCTCCTCTTGCCTTATGCGAGCCTACTGACGTGCACGAGGCATCCGCCAGACCTTCACGCTTCCGGACTCTCCACAGCAAAATGGGATTGCTGAGCGCCGCATTGGCATGGTCATGGATGTCGCTCGTACGTCCCTGATGCATGCGGCTGCCCCCCATTTTCTGTGGCCGTTTGCGGTTCGGTACGCGGCGCATCAGATCAACCTTCACCCCAGGGTCTCCATGCCGGAGACCTCCCCAGATTTGCTATGGACGGGGAAGGTTGGCGATGCATCTGCGTTCCGTGTCTGGGGATCTCAGGCGTTTGTTCGCGACTTGTCTGCGGACAAGCTGTCCCCTCGTGCTGCTCCTTGCGTCTTCCTTGGCTTCCCCCCTGACGCGCCAGGGTGGCAGTTCTACCACCCCACCTCTTGCCGTGTTCTGTCCGCCCATGACGTCACATTTGACGAGTCGGTCCCCTACTACCGCCTCTTCCCCTACTGCACTCCGTCCCTCCCGCCACCACCCCTCTTCCTTGTGCCAGGTCCCCTCCCGGTAGACCCCCTCCCCCCTCAGGGTCCTGCCCTTCAGGTGTGTCCCAGGTAGACGCAGTCGAGCCTGTCGAGGTTACTGGTTACTCTGGTGCTGCAGAGGGTGCTGACTCTGGGGATGCTGAGCGTGTGGGTGCTACGCCTGGGGGTGCTGAGCCTCAGGGTGCTACTACTAGGGGTGCTGAGCCTGGGGGTGCTGAGCCTGGGGGTGCTACCACTGGGGGTGCTGAGCCTGGGGGTGCTGAGCCTGGGGGTGCTACGCCTGGGGGTGCCGAGCCTAGGGGTGCGGAACCTGAGGGAGCTGGGCCTGCTCGTGTGGCGTCTGGTGGTGCTGAGCCTGGAGGTTCTACGGGTGCTTCCTCTCGGAGGGATCCACTCTCTCCACAGGAGCTGCGCGAGTGGTTTGCCCGGCGCTGGAGGCGTGCTGCTGCAGGTGGAGGTTTTTCGGCTGCTGAGGGTGCTGCTGCCGTGGGTCCCGGAGGTGCTCGTACTGGGAGTACTGGAGCTGCTGGGCCTGCGGGTATGACTGGAGCTGGAGCTCCTGAGGGTGTTGGCGCTGAGGCTACTGCTCTCGGTCCTGGAGGCGGTCCTGCTGGGGGTGCTACTGGTGCTAGTGGTGCTGTAGGAGGTACTGGAGCTTGAGGTGCTGCTGACGCTGGTGCTGCCGCTGGGGGTACTGGTGCTGTCCCTGCTGTGTCTTAAGTCGCC